TTCTCTTTCACTGCTTATTCTTTCTGTTTTTTAATCCCTCCATCACATTTTATATTTCAAAAATAATTCCTTTGTGTTTACCAAATGCCCAGGATCTGGGCAGCCAGTTAGACATCAAGATTTCCTGACAGCTGAAGGTATCCTGTGGAGTAGGTGTCTCCAGAAACAGCCTTTACCCTAGTAAATGAACAAGATGATCTATTTTGGTGTGACAAGAAAATATTAGAACTTCTGGGGCTTTGATTTAGATTTATTGGATTGCATACATTTTATTTGTTTGTGTTTATAATATAGAATGTATATTTAAACTGTTGCATACCTATAAAATTTATAAAGTACATTAACACACATTTAGCGAAAGTATATGCTCAAAATATTTTTATTGTGGTATTCAAGACTTTAAAACCTTGACAGAGCCCTAGAGAAGCTGATTACCAACAATAGTGCTGCCTGCTTGTTACTGACCACTACTGTGTGCCGGGGACTGCTCAGTTGCTTAGTTCATGTTAGCTCAATCCCCCAGCCACTCTGTGAAGTAGATGCCATATTAAGGCACTATGTCATTCCCTCAATGCAGAGGAAAACAGGAAAGCATGGAGAATTTGGGCAGTTTATCCAGAGACATAGAATTTCTTGTGGCAGGATTTGACAGCCTGAGGGCAACAGGCCCCAGGCCTTGCTCTTTTTTTTTTTTTCCCAATACTATACTGGGGATTGAACCAGAGCTTCACACATGAGGCAGGCACTCTACCATTAAGCTACATCCCCAGCCCTTTCAAAAAATTATTTTAATTTTGAGACAGTGTCTCACTAAGTTGCTCCAGCAGGCCTTGAACTTGCGATCCTCCCGCTTCAGCCTCTGAAGTAGCTGGGATGACAGGCATGTACCACCACGTGGGGCTGACCTTCCTCTTAACCCTCGGTACACTGCCTTTGGAGTTCCCAGCAGAGCAGGGGAACAGCTGGACTGGGCTTCAGGGCCTCTGCTATCCCAGGGTTCATTCTCCCCACTGCTCTGCCAAGTGGCTTTCTCCATCCCTGTGGACACTCTTCCACCTGGAATGAGTCTGCGGGCCAGGTGCTGAGGCCACAAGGGCAAGGAATTTAGGGATTCTGTCCCCTAAAAGCTAATGCTAATGCAGAAGATAAGGCAGTGACATAGTTACAATTCACACAGAAAGTGAGAAAAACCAAAACTCAGAAGCAATAGGAATCTGAAAGAGGCATTTCGGCCACATGGAGAAATTAGGGAAGTGACAGGGGAACAACATCTGAGCCGGTTTGAAGGGAAAACTCCTCCGAGTCACCATGTAATTTTGTAATACATGCTGTTATGAAAGTATCATTGGGAATACTTCTTCGGGTTTTGGCTTTGTCCCCTTTCCCTTTCACACTGACAAGCAGGGGACTCTTGAGACCTCTACATCTCATGGGATATATGAAGTTCGAGAGTTCTGTATTTAGTTTATTACTAAAAATTATGAATATTGTACTTTTAGGCCTTGTGGCAGCCAGAAAATAGTTTTTATGATAGAAACTGGTTCTTGAGAGCACAATATTTTTCAAGAATTATCAACAGGCTATGGAGAAACCCAACTTTGCAGAACTAATCGGGACCTAATGAGCAAGTAGTCAAGAGACAGTTGTGAGTGTGAACCATGAAGTGAGCTTTTCAAGGCTCCAAGCTGCCAGCTGTCGAGGTGGTTTAAGCTGGGGTTTTGGTGGAAGAACATGACTGTGACAATCCACAAATTGGAATGAAAGCCCATCTCCTCTACATACCCAGCTTAGGAATGTGGTCACGAAGCCCCACACTGTGACTCAGCTTGGAAGATACAGAGAAGAAATGAACTCACTAGAAAATTGGAAAGCTCTCTTTCAGATTGTTAAGCCATAGCAAGACTGACTGAGACACGAGAGGGAGCCAAACTTGATAAAGTTTGCATTTTCTCCCCATCCCACTGTAAAAGATCTGGACTTGGAAGAAGCTTATTGTGTGTAGCATTTTCCAAGAAAAGAGAACCAGAGGCCTTGCTACATGAATGATTCTACAGCTCTGGGGCGAGTGCATGCGATGGTTTCATCTGTAGGGGGAAATAGATCTTTGTGAGTGATTACATTGAAACACACCTGCAGACAAGTACTTAATGTGACTTATGTGTCTCTAAAGGAAAATATAAATTATGACAGGGAAAGTTCTGGCTGGATTTGCCAATGATTTAGCATAAACCTCGGACCAATCTTTGAGCCTCAGATTTTCCATAAATGAGAATGCTATCGTGAGTGTGTCATAGACCATATAATAATTTTTATAAGTTAACTTAAACCCTCTGAAAAATTCACATTCAAAGAATATTAGAGCTCTAATGAAGTATTAAATGGAACTGATTCAAGCAGCCAAGGACACTGTCTTCACATACTGCTGAAGAGGCTTTTCACATAGTAAAGTCTTGAATTTCCCTTTAAAGATGGTCATCATTCAATAAATTATCCTTACAGTTTTCGTGTTACGAATTTTTTCTGATTCCTCAAACTATTCATTCTCAGGGAGAAAACAGTGCTACCCTGCTCCATGCAACATAAGATTTCTTATATCATTAAACCAGACTTTTAAAGTTTTTGGTAGACAGTTCCACAATAACAACCACCCACCCAGTGTTTATGGAGAATTTATCATTTCTGAGTACAGTGCTTGTGAAGGGGTATAAACGCAGAGTCCCAGGCAATACCACGAGAGACTTACTGCATTCTTACTGAAAAGCTTATTGAACCTCTGAGCTCAGGTTCAAGTCCAGTCCTTTAAAATTAGATTCCCCTCTGGACCACCTATGCCTGCTTATCTCTGCTAACACAGACCTCACCACCTCCTGACCAGCAGCCCCTTCCAATTTTTGACATCATTTAATTGCTAGACAAGACAGATTTCCATGCACAGTCAGTCACACTGCTGGAATGAGTCAAAATACAGTAAGTGCTGAGTCATTTCAAAAAAACAAGTTCTGCATGAGATCGGAGGAAGGGGTAATCACTGCTGCTGTTCTGGTCAGAAAAAAGGTGATGATTTAAAGTTAAATAACCAAAATCTTTTCATTCTTCTGAAAGTACATCTTTACTGTTATTGGGGTTATACACAAATGCCAATAATTGTTAAGATTTTATTCTTTTCACTGACAACTAAAAATCGTTATGTATTCATGAAGCACAACATGGCATTTTGATATGTGAATGTTACAGAATATCTGTGCCAGGTGAACGAACTATCCATCAACCACATACTTATTTTTGAGAGTGAGAATTTTAATAATTCTCTTAGGAATTTTCAAGTATTCAATACATTGTTATTAACTATGGTAACTGTGTTGTACAATTTATCTCTCTGGCTTCTTCTTCCTCCTAACTGAAAACAACAACAAAAAGCCTTTCATGTCACCTTTGCCCACAGGCAAACCAGTTTTGTGTGTACAGTTCCATAGCTCGTGCTATGCTAACTGCCTCTCCTGGAAATTCTCTCACCTATGAACTTGCTAGCAAGAAAGCTGGCTAACCAGTTCTTTGCAAGCTTAAGTAGGGCTAACACAAGAGGAAACAGCAGGAGAGAAGCCTGCTGGTGGCTGATGGCTGATGGCTGGTGGTGTTACCTTCGGGCCGGCCTGAGGGTCTCAGACCCATCCAGTAGCTCAGGTCTTTCCCTCAGTGCCAACAGGGGAATGACATGTGCTCCAGGGGACGTCCAGACACAGAAACAAGAAGAGTCACTAAACTCTAGTCCTCATAACCAAATTCATGGTAAATAGTCATTTACTGAGGCCTCTAATTCAGTACCCTAGGTGCCTGAGCTGCTTCACAGTGGGGCAAAGCCTCTGGTGAGACAGAGCAGGTGCATAGTGAAATTGCTGCAGGGGCGGCCTTTTCTTCTAAGTGTTACCATGAATTGGTCATGTTTCCGATTTCTACCAGTCTTGATATGAATTTGAACCCAGGACCTCCACACTGAGCTACATCCCCAGCCCTCACCTCTTTTTGAGACAGGGTCTCTCAGAGTCACTAAGTTGCCCAGGCTGGGCTTGATCTTTCTATGTTCCTGCCTCAGCCTCCTAGAGTGTGAGGATTGTAAGTGTGTACCACCATGTCTGGCTGATACACTTTTACAATTACTGTTAGGCTTTCTTTCGCACATCATTTTGCTCTTACATAACTGCTGAGTTGTCATTTTTCTCATGGTTTCTTTTTATCACTCATTTTGCGGGAGGGGAGAATGAAAATTTAAAAATACCAAGATAAAGGGAAGAATTCCTAATGACTTCCAGCCCCTTTTATAGCCCTAAAAATTTCGGACATATTGGCCTTTCACAATAATTCTAGAAAGTAGATATTATTTTCCCCAATTAGAGCAAACCAAGGCTCAGAAAGGCTTCACAATGTTTCGTTTTTTGGTTTTTGTTTTTTTGTACTGGGGATCGAACTCGGAACCTTGAGTTTGTAAGGCAGGCAATGGAACCACTGAGCTAAATCCCTGGCCCTCCAACGCTCAGAAAAGATAAGTGACTTGCTGAGGTTTCAGAGCCAGTAAGTGGTAGAAATCAAATTTTAAAACAACGTGCTTTTCTATTATGTCCCACTGTAGGCCCCAAAGTGTTTGTCATCTAGTTTCACCTCCAGATTTTTCCTTCTCTACTTGTTTGGCTGAATAGAACTCTAATAATTACTGACCCTGTGAGTCATGTTTCATTCAAAGTAACTTCTAAAAAATGAGATAGTATTAGCTGAAATTTGAATATTTCTAAACTGTTAAACTGGTATATGAAGATCTTTTGCTGTCAAGAGATTTTGAGTGTAATGTTTTCTTGTATTATTTTTTGGCAACAAGACAGCAACCTCTATATTTCAGGGACTGAAATGCATACTAAGTAAACTGGGGTGGGTACGATAATTAGTCTAGATGTACACAACATTCGAGAAAGAAAAGTAAGGAAAACCTTTGGCCTTGGAATTTCTTGCAGGTATTCTGCAAAAGCTCAATGATCTTGGAACACCTGGATGTCTCTTACTGCCCCCAGCTGTCCAATGAGATTGTTAAAGCGCTGGCCATCTACTGTGTTAGCCTCACATCTCTCAGCATCGCAGGCTGTCCACAGGTATGTGGCCGGCTCGTCCGCGTCAGAGGAGGCAGGCAGGGCCAAATGCACCACAGAACTAGTTTTCTTTGCCATGTCCAAGGTCCTCATTAGATTTCTTTCCTATCTCCAAACTGGAAATAGCTTTAGGATTTCATTTGTGCCAAAGTAGATTTTTCACAAGGTTAAAAGCATCATTCTCAGACAAATATAAGCATTTGTCAAAGCTTTTCTTATTCGTTAATGAAAGAACCAACAAAATAATAAAGCCAAGGCATAGACCATTGGAATGATCTTGGTATTATAGGAACTGAAGAAAGAATGTTGGATGTTAGAGTATGACTGCCAGGTTAGATCTAAAATGGGTGAATGCAACCGATTACAGTTCAATCAGATACAAATGGTCTGCCTCTCTCCTGCACAAATGTATAAGGTGCTAACATGTAACTTTGTTGAGCCTGGGCCTTAATCAATAGTAAATAGCATGTCACAGAATTTCCTGTAGGTTTTCTTGGTGGGTAACTTAAAGGATTTTCCAGAATGACATTTAGAGGTCATACAGTCGTCTTTTGTCTTATTTTAAAGTGTTTGATAATTTTTCTTTTGCTTTTCTTCTTTTTGTTGCTCTTAGTGAACTTAAAAAAATTTACCTTTTATTAGTGGATGTTTGAAGTACATAATGATTATGTTCTTCGTGGCGAGTTGCTACATGCACATAGCACATTTTAATTCTTTTTTTCATTCCCTTCCTCTTGCTGTCTCATCCCTCCATCCATCTCTTCATTCGCCCTTTCTTTTGCCAAAAATCTCTCTCCTTACTTCCTATTATCTATTTTGCTCTTTATTTAAATTTTGGGTTTCTCATATAAGAGAAACCATGTGATATTTAAGCTTGTGTGTCTGATTTATTTCACTTAACATTATGGTCTCTTGGTGCATCCATTTTCCTATAAATGACTGAAGTTTACCCTTCTGATGGCAGACTAGTATTCTATTGTGTAAATGAACTAACTGAGAAAGAAATTAGGAAAACAATACCATTCACAATAATATGAAGAAAAATTACTTAGGAATTAACCTAATCAAGTAATCGAAGACTGCTATCATGAAAATTACATCACTGAGAAAAAGGAGATTGAAGAGGACACCAGAAAATGGAAACATATCCTATGTTCCTGGGTAGGCAGAACCAGTCTTGTCAAAATGGCCATACTTCCAAAACTGATATACAGATTTAATGCAATTGCAATAAAAATACAATAAATTCCTCACAGAATTAGAGAAAAAAAAAATCCTAAAATTCATGTGGAACCATAAGTGACCCAGAATAGCAAAAGCAATCCTGATTTATCTTGTCTTCTATGTATAAAGAAAATATTCATTGTAAAAAATTTGACTATTTAAAAGCTTAAAGGAAAAAATAAAAACCCACAGTAACACTACCACCCAAACATAACTATTCTTCTAGAATTTTTTTCTATGTACAAAAGGTTAGAAATATTTACAGGTTTGTCTTTTGCCTTTAAAAAAAAAGACTAGAATCACACTTTCCAATATAAATCGAACCTTACCTTCTCTTAACGTAATATGGATCTATTTCCACATCAAGAAATAGAGATCTTAGGGCCGGGGATTTAGCTCAGTGGCACCACACCTGCCTGGCAAGTGCAAGGCCCTGAGTTCAATCCCTAGTACTGGGGGGGGGGGGGGAAGAAATCGAGAGCTTGGTTTCCGGACTAATGGCCAGTTGACTATATAAGTACAATTTTGTTCCTCCCGAATCCTGCCAAAACTGCAGGTGAAGGGTGAGGACCCTTGAACACCAGAAAAACAAGACAGGAAACAAGAACCACAAACTTTTTCTGGAAGCTTGAAAGTAGCTGGGAAAATTTAGCTTTAAATCCTAAACTAACAGTTGAGAAAGCTGAAAAAATATCCGACTCACAACTGTCTTTACACTTGGCAGCACCTTGTAACCTCTGGAACTGGGTTAGGCAGGGGCTAAAGAAAGGAAAGCCGAGTTAAAAGTCATTTAGGCACACAGGAACCCCACAGTGCCTCCTCTCTTTTACACCTCCGGTTGCTGTCTCTTCCCACCCCAAATAGAAGCCTAGAGATTCATTTTCTAAATCCAGGCTTCCCAGTGCTGTCACTGTTGAAATTCCAGGCAAGACTTTATCTTTGCTGTGCCTAGGTCCCGTGGGATGCTCACCAGTACCCTCCCTCTGCTCACCTGGTCAGTACCACCCAACCCTTCAGGCCCAGTCCTGACCACCAAATATGTCCCCAGAGATGCCCAGTGTCCTTTTGGAGCAGAATTGCTCCTGAAAAGACCCACTATCCAAGAGAGAGAGATGGTAACAGAGGGTTTCTGGGCTGGAGCCGCCATGATTAATTATGAGTGTGGCACAAAAGCAAAAGGGAATTTAGGGATTGGACGCTAAGTGCAGGCGCTCAAGTATTTCTTCCAGCTCAGCATCCAGAAGTTGGCTGCCAGGTCTTTCCCTGCAGGAAGGAGTTTAGAAACCAGCCTCTTCTCCAGAGGCGCTAGGATGAAAACGCTGACACTGGGGTTTCCCCACAAATCCTGTCCTAGACCATCCCTCACTGGAGTTGGCAGTGGAAAAGCTTCCAGCCAGTTTCTAGCCCTCCACTATGAATCAGAATAGATAGTCAAGGATTACCACATCAAGAGGAAAGACCACAACAAATTAACAGGAAAAAACTTAAATTTTTGCACAATATTCAGAAAGATGAAAAATTTTTAATTTTTAAATTTAAAAAAATCTCAGAGGCCAGGCGGGGTAGTGCATGCCTGTAATCCCAGCACTCGAGAGGCCGAGGCAGGAGGATCGCTGCAAGTTCAAGGCCAGCCTAGGCTGTATAATGAGTTCAAGGCCAGCCTGAACTGCGTAAATAAATAAATAAAACCCTCAGGAACTGCAAGGTTATTAACAAGCTTGTTCTCTTCTGTTGCACACATGGCCCGGCTGTTGTTTATGCAGCATCAGTCCAAGGCAAGGCTCCCTGCAGCCCAGCCAGGCTGCACACCGAGCTCCATGTGCTTTGCGCAGTGAGTGCATCAAGAGTTTGATGCTAGAGTCTCCTACATCCTCCACAGCTACTTGTGCCCCCTAAAAGAGGAGGAGGCAGTAGGGGGAAAGATGTGGTGAGCCAGAAAGTTCACAGGAAAGTTCTTTAATAGTATAGTTGTTGAGCTAGGGACGCCCAATGTTGTTCTGGTCAGTACCACATGGTTCTAGAAGTGAGCTTGTTGACCCCCAGAATCCCCGTGTAAAGCTACAGCACTATCATCTGAACCGTTCTAGTTACACGGTGGGTCAAGTGATTCAGAAAACGCGGTGACCGCTCTTTGGGCCAATCTGAATACCCCTCAGCTCACTGGATCTCCAGTGACTCAGCCCAATTGAGTCCACTTATGTTGCTGCTGATGAGCCATAAAATACATCAGTGTCTGGCTCCTTCTAGAACAGGGTTCCCAAAAGCCCACTTTGAATATCAGGCAGCTATCTTACCACAGCTCTTTCAAACAGCCACCTCACCTCCACTGTCCTTCAGTGGGACCAGAAGCTCATCTGACCCAACACTAAAATGCCAAGCAAAGCAAAGGGAGCTCAAACTGGGGAGAACCCTGGCTCTATGGACCTTGTTCAGAGGCCCTCTACTAACACAGTCACCTTTGATCCTCATGACATTTATGTGAGGTAGGAGTTAATAATTAGAAAGAAAGAACCAGGGTTTGGGGAAAGAGAGAAATTCAAGTGAATTCCTGAACAATTGTAAACTATTTCTGCAATGCACCTTTGAGGGAGAAAAAGCTGAAACAGGCCTGGGCTTTGGAATTGTGTTTCTGTCAGGAAGGTGCAGGTGACAGCAAGCAGGTCACTGCATACTGGTTACCAGCTAGTCTGAGTCCGAAACAGATTCTTACAGAGGCAGCAAGGGACAGCAGAAGCCCAGGATTCACTGAGAGCCACCCGAGCTCAGGAGAGCAGATAGGGTTGGATGAAGTCTCAGCAGTGGGGTCCACCTGCACTGCAGCTAAGGTTCTCCAGGGAGCAGCCCACTGTCTGGGTTTTATAGCCAGAAGCAAAATGACATGCTGCGCTCCAGCCTCAGGTGATCCTGTGCCCCAGGCTGTGCCCCACTGCACTCCCAGCACATTCTACTTATTCTTGAGAACTACTTGCCAGAAAACAAAGAGAACTGGGTCAGTCCAAGGCCACGTGGGGACCGTCCTGCAGGTGGGACAGATCTGAGAAGGTGACAGCCAGCTCTGAAAGCCCTACTGCTCTCCCCTCAGACCCTGGCCCGGGGCAGCATCAGGGCAGGCCGCCACACAGCCCCTCTCACCCCAGCTTGGAAGAGCCTCTCGTCAGCAACGTCCCCAAGGCTTTGATGGCGCTGCTTGGTGAGGGCCAACACTTTCAGTTTGTTTTTACCCTTTTTACAGGTGAGATAATAATTCAGAGTAGAAGAAGACAGGCAGGGCCCTGGGCCAATGGTCCAACATTTAGTGAAGTGCCTTAAATCCAGTTCCTCAGACTTGCAGTGTGAAGGAAGAGAGTAAGATATTTGCTGATTCCGGGATTCCCCAGAATAAACCCTGCCCTTTTGAATCTGTTTTTTTTTTTTTGGTACCGGGGATCCAACTCGGGTCCTTGTGCTTGCATAGCAGGCTTCGAAACCACTGAGCTAAATCCCTGGCCCTACCCTTTTAAATCTTGATTTTCCTGGTGCAGCTGGCTAACATATCTGGAAATTCTTAGTTTAGAGATTTCAAAAATAGCCATCAGGAAAATCAATTATAGGTTTCAAAATGAGTATAAGGAAAAGAAATGATCAATGGGTCATACTTTACCAGACCTACTGTTGCATAACCACTCCCTCTAAATCTCAGTGGCTTCAAAGTCCCATTTTATTTGCTCAGTTCTGTGGGCAGCAATCTGGACTGGTCTCGGTGGGGTTCTTCTGCTAGTGGCTGTGCCCAGGGTCATAGCCACCCATGGGGTCCACTTAGAACAGATGGCCTGGGGGCCCAAGCTGGGTGGCTTCCTCTTACTGGACAAAGTGACAAAGTTGCATCCTCCACCAAGCTGGACAAGCTTCTTCACATTCCAGGAAGGCAAGGGAGAAGGGCAGGTGGGAGGAAGACAACAATTGTGATGGTTAGCATTTGGAATATCTTTAAAAAAGCTCTGGAACTTAGGTTACATGAAGAAATACTCCAGAATATTAAAAGTAGCTATGTTAAGGTGATGATTTGTTTTTCCTTTATTTTTTGTAATATGTTTATATTATCTGTCAAATATGAAATAACTTCACTTAAAATATAGACCTAAACTTTTTTTTTTTTCCCAGAGACTGAAAGGGAGCTGTGTTGGGAATAACATAATCTCGGGCAGTGGGGCTGGGACCAGCACCTTGCATCTGAGAATTAGGTCACTGAGTCATCTGTATCCCCAGTTCCCAGCCTTCCATCTATAAATCCCCAAGCCCCACCTCCCTTATTAAACAGCTTGAGCTTCCCATCTATAGGAAACTTCTGGCTCCTTTTCTGCACTCTCTCTGTTAAGCGAAACTGCCCTCGGAGCACCACTGCCCTGGACATTTCCATCACCTCAGGGTCCTTCCTGTCCTCTCCAATGCCGAGGGCCGTGTTCTTTCCAGTAAACATCAGGTCCTCAGAGACCATATAGAGTGGTGGGAATGTCTGGAGGTATTTTTATGAGAATCAGCTGCAGTGTTGACCCTTGGTTCCAATGTGTTCTGGAAACAGCATGCTTAGACAATGACAGCATCTACTTTTCCAAACTTAACAAAGTATACATTTTCAACCGAAGGGCTCTTCTGCATAATTCTCTTAACTTTATGTTAAAAGGCAAGGGCCAACCCTCATGACATACGTTTTGTAGAATGTTTAACCATAAAATAAATTAAATCCAGTTGGAAAAAAATTCCTGTGAGGAGAGTAATCTAGTTGATTCTGTGGTAAGTCTCAGCTCAGCTATAAATTCAAGAGCTAAGCCCGAGTATGTGAAATAAACTGAGACTTGGAGCTGAATCATCCCTGCAGGACATCTGGGCAGACTCGAGAGATGTTGGAACCCTCAGCAGCATTTCTCAGAGCAGGGTCATTTTGCCTTTGTGGCTTCTGCTCATCTTTCTCCTCCAAACATCTGTCTCGCCTTCAGGTCCCTTTCCAGAACCGGGCCCTCCTACCTTCCTTACACGCAGTCTGTCAGAGATGTGCAGGCCCTCCTTGTGGTAATCAGATCCTCTTGCACATTAATTTCAGGGGATGTGTGTTTTGTAATTTTGTAATTTATGTTATTAAACAGATGAAGCCTTAGAGTGAATTTTAAGTGGAAAGCCAAGTCCTATGTCTGTAGCCTTTCCTAAGCCCCTCACACTGGTGTGACAGGTATTATTAAGGAAGTTTTAATGAAGTTTCTCATCCAAACCAGGGGACTTGTCAGTGAAAATAACTGCAAAATCACAAATTTTATTGGTGCCTCCTGAGGCAGATAGTTTACCGTTCTGACTTTATTTGGAAATAGAGCCAAACTGCTAACTTAGCCATCATGTTATGTTATAACCTGGGTGAGAGACTCCACAAGGGTCCTGACTGTCTTTGTTCTGGACTGAGTGTTTGTGTGTCCCCCAGTTCATAGGTTGAAACCCTACATGCTCATGTGACAGGGCCAGGAAGTGAGGCTTTGGGAGATGAATAGGTTTAGAGGGGTTTGTAAGGGTGCAGCCCCATATGGGCTTTTTTCCTGATAAGAAGAGGTGTGGTGGTACACACCTGTAACTCAAGCACTTTGGGAAGCTGAGACGAGAGTATCACAAGTTCAAGTCTATCCTGGGCACCTTAGCAGTTTAGCAGCTTAGAAGAGACCTTTTCTCAAAATAAATGTAAAAAGGAGCAAGGGATATAGCTCAGTACAAAGGCCCTGGGTTCAATCTGCAGTACTGCCCCAAAAAAGGACTCTCTCTCCTTCCATATGAGAACATGGTGAGAAAGCAGACATCTGCAAACAGGGAGGGTCTGCACCAGGCACCACATGTGATCTCGACCTAGGGCTCCAGAACTGTGAGAAATACATGCTTGATGTTCAAGCCACCAATCTTGTATTTTACTGTAGCCACCTAAACTGACTAAGACAGTTCTTCTGGGAAATAGTTTGTCTGAATAACCAGTGCTTACTAATTGGCTTTGTATTCAGTTTACAGACTCAGCGATAGAGTTCTTGTCAGCAAAATGCCATTATCTGCACATTTTGGACATCTCCGGTTGCGTCCTGCTTACTGACCAAATCCTCAAGGACCTCCGGAGGGGCTGCAAACAACTCCGGATCCTCAAGATGCAGTACTGCAGACAGATTTCCATGTGAGTGTGCAGCTGCCCGGGGGAAACAGTGGCATTTGTAATATGCAGTGGCTTTCGGTGTTAAGTTTTATTTTGTTTTTAGATCAAATGAATGGACTTTCTGGCAGGGACCTACTCATGTAGATACTGTGTGTGACTAATATGGTATCTGGTCAAAAGACCCACCGTATCCAGTAATAGCCGAATCCTGCCTTTAACTACTCAGCCCTCTTGCAAGATCCTTAGATCAAAAATATGCAAAGAAAACAAAATACAGCAGAGTAAGACTTTACTGCTTAGCTTGGGCTTTGTCTCCAAACCTCAATGCAAAATTCTAATTATGGCTAAATCTATGGAAAATCTAAGCTGGCACAGCAAAAGGCTTATTTTGCTTTCTACCACAAGCCTGGCTGTCCCAATCAGCAAGACGCAGCAGTCTTGGCCCTGATATCTAGTGAGGCTGGCTTGGTCTATGCATCTCTTTGTCTAAGGAGGCCAGGTCACCACCTTTTAGCCTCCCCTGGTGCTCCATCCCTGCTCAGCCCCAGCAGGAAAGAGGCCTCGAAACCTTTGATTCTCTTTGTCTGGCAATGGAGGACAGTCCTCACTGAAGAGTGGCCTGGAGACCTCCAGGGTTTGGACCAGTAAGGCTCCAGGAACATCTGTGTTTACATCCAACATCTAAGAGGGGATGATGCTGGTCAGTCTGGGGGCTCCCAAGATGCTGGGGCCTCTTAGGTTACAGAAGTGGTGAGGCCTGGCTGCCTGCAGCTGTCTGGGGTTGGCTCCAGGGGCTGTGGAGCAGCTTCCTTTTCTACTTAGATCCTGGGGAGTGTGTGCGGGTGGGGATGGAAATGCATAATGTATGGGGACCCTCCAGAGCTCAAGGGGTGATCTGTAATGCCTCACCTACAGTCTAATAAAGCGCAGTTGTTTGCTCTTATCAGAGCCAGGGTGGGACCCTTGACTGCAGACACTCTGTCATATCTGGGTGAAATATAACCTTTGGTAGCTGAGACGCAGCAGTTTTTTTTTTTTTTTTTTGCTTGGGAATAGGTTCAATGACCTTGAACCATTTTAAACATGAAAACATCATATGATTCAGCCCTTAGAATCTAATAAAATATTGTATGTACAAATTCCCCCAAAGCCTCATGTGTCCAGAAGTTGGGCCTTTGGGAGGTGATTGGGTCATGGGGGTGAATGTGCTGTTAGGAGGTCAGGCCTGGTCAGAGGAGGTGGCTCACTGGGAGCATGACCTGGAGTGCTAATCTCCTTTCTGGCTCCTCCCTTCACTCTTTGCTTCCTGGATGCAGTGAGTGAGCAGCTTTCCTCTGTGGCAGGCCCTTCCACCATGCTGTTTCTATATTTGAGCCTGCTGACCATGGACTAAAACTTCTGAAACCGTGAGCCAGAATAAACCTGCTGCCTGTGGGTGGAATGGAGGTGGGGCTCACCACTGAGACTAGGACAAAGGGGACAGGGAGCCCGGAAGTAAACAAGTTAAGAAATGCGTGCACTGTGGGGTACTTCCCCGTGGCTGAATTCTGACCCACAGTACTGAATTTAATGCGCAGTGTCCCTGTTCACCCGCACTTTTTTTACATCTGTATTAACACTGACTTTTTCTTGTGATTTTCTGAAACTGTTACTATTTGCTAATTGTTTTTCTATCACAATTACCCCAAATTTACCCAGGGTTGTGGCTTAGAAACTATAGGACCCAATATTTATACATTCCCAAACTTAGCAATAAGAGTTCTTATCCTCATGCCAGCTACCCAGGATTCTCAAAAACTGTTGCTTTTCTGAAGCTAATGATAACATATAGGCTGGCCATAGTGGTGTGCAACTGTAATCCCAGCACCTGGGAGGCTGGGACAGGAGGATCACTGTGAGTTTGAGGCTAGCTTGGGCTACATAATGAGTTCAAGACCAGCCTGAAGTATATATCAAGACCCTGTCGCAACCCTACCCTCAACAAAAAGATCACATAATTTGCTCAACTACTTGCAAATCCTTTATAGCTGAAACAAACATTTCCTTTTCCTATAACTCAGGACCACTGTTGTTTCTAACAGTAGTTAGCTATCTTGTAGTACAGTCAGGGTCAGTGGTGCTGAATGATAACTGCAAAGGGGTGAGTGTTCAGAGCTCTGCTATTTGGGAGACAGGGCAGGAGGGCATTGCAAATAGGAACCCAAGGCTGCCTCTCCTAGACAAGCAAATTAGCAGGACCCAAGAGAGCGAATGGACTTGGGTGAGCTGCTGAAATCTCCTGTTTGGGATGCCATTGTTAGGTTTCAGAGACATGCAAAGAAGTATAATATACCCTTAAATGACTTACTATCTTTTTAAACCAAAGGAAAGAGACAAAGTTTAAAGCAATGTTATGAAGCTATGTATTGGAAAGAGTTAATTCCCTGATCAACTTCTTTAAAAAGTTCAGAGGAGGAAGGCACTGGGTTTGAGTTTGCACAAAATAGGCTGGAATGGCTTGGCACTGCGGGAGATGGTAAAGTTCAGGCAGGCGGAGAGGGGTCAAAGGCAACGATGGAGCTCTGCTGCCTCAGGTAGCATCTTACCCTGCTGACCCCTGGGGGTGTCTGGGTTTACATTTTGGTAAGTCTTTGGTGGGAAAGCCTGCAGGCAACTTCTTAAGCCATACGGTAATCTCAGCTTCACAGAACTGAAAAGGAAGAACTATCAGGAGGAGAATACAGGAAAACCCTAAGACGTAAGCCTACTCTTTATGTAGAATGTTCTACTTAGAGAATATGCAAAGCTATATAATAGGGTTGAAACAGAATTAACACTTGAAGATTTAAAATTAACAGAATGCAAAGCCTTATTTTTTACCATAAATTCACCATTCTCAAATTTAATATTTATCTACAGAGAAGGCATTTTTTTGGTCAAGTCTTAGCACATGGGAATGGTGGCTCTGAACTAGAAGTTAGGACATAAAAATTACTTTGACTCAGATTGTTCTTTAAACTTGTATAAAGTTTCTGTGAATGCAAACATATGAGCCAAAAAGCAATGTATTAAAAGACAGAGTTAGCGTGCTTTGGTTGTCTCCGTTTTTCTGCTACAATTAAACAGTATTTTGAACTAGTATATTTCACTTTTTCCAATTTAATTGCCTTGCCCGAATTTATATGACCATTTAGCACAGACTTAACTCCAAGTATACTGTAACGCCAGCCCCACATCAGTGGCTCAGTTATTTTTGAAATTAATAATTTGGCATAACATATAGCAAGAGTAGTAGCCCCTTCATGGTTCAACATCACAATTACTCACTTCTGATCCCACAGAAGTGGCTGATTGCCCATTTCCTTTTTAGTATTAGTCTTTTTTTTTTGTATTAAATTCTTTTATTGGTACATTGTAGGTATACAACACAATTACATTTCCCATTGGGAATTGTACCTTTACATAATGCATCT